TCTTTCTTTCTTTCTTTCTTTCTTTCTTTCTTTCTTTCTTTCTTTCTCTTTCTTTCTTTCTTTCTTTCTTTCTTTCTGTCTTAACCCATTTTCATTTCTACTTCATAGTTGTAATTTTGTAGCCATTATGAATTGTACATGTGGTATGCAGCCCCTGTGAAAGGGTTGTTTGACCCCCAGGTTGAGAACGGCTGCAATAGTTTTGCTAATTATTTTACAAGACCACAATAGCTTATCTTTTAAAAACAAGCTTAAAATAGGTTGATTTTGAATTCTTCTGGATTTCAAATAACCTGGGAGCAATATTTAGGTTGACTTCCTCTGCTATATTTTCATCAGTTCAGACAGTGCCTTGCTTATAAAATATTGTCTAAAGGAGTGAACTTTCTTATGGAGTAACTTTTTTATGTAGCTGTTTTACAGTTGATTTTTGGGGCTGGAAAGATGGCTCAGCAGTGTAGTGCTTATTGCTTTTTCAGAGGGCCTGAATTTGGTTTTAGGCAGCTCAAGCTGGCAACCACCTATATCTCCAATTCCACAAGATTGGAAGTCCTCTTCTGGCCTCTGCCAACTCTCAAAAATACACATGCACACTAAGTTTACAAGTAATTTCAAAAAGGTGTAGTTAGGACAACACGGGCAGGCTGTAAATGCACAGAAGCCACCATACACACAGCTCAGGAGGAGAGAAACATCCAGAGACCTGCCTGCTTCCATGATATACCTCAGGGCAGGCTGTAGATACTTAAGAGGCCTGCTTGCTGCCACACTACGTGGCCCTGGCAGAAGTCACCCAGAAATCCTCCAGCTGTGTGGTCTACCTGCAGTGGGAGCCACTTCAGTGTGCAAGTATGTGGTGGACAGATGGGAAAGAAAGAGAAGCAGTGGAATAATTTGAGCATTACAAAGAGAGATGGAACTGGATTGAGTGTGGCATGGAATAGCCTACCGTAACCCCTGCCACCTAAGCCCAAGGTGAAATCCCAACCCATGCTGCAGTTGAGGTCCATGTCTGGATTCATGGCCATACAGTGGCAGGGGTTGGTGTCGATGTCTGTGGTTCATATTACCAGTAGAGACCGTGTAGACGTTCCTGGTTTGGGTAGTCACCTGGAACCAAGTAATGTCCAAGGGCTGCACAGAACTGTCCCAGCCCCTCACTGGCTGCTGCATTCTGGTAAGCTGGCCCCACCTCTCAAAGGCTGCAGAACTTGGGAGCTGGCCCTGCACCTTGCCCAGCAGCACAGTGAAACTGGCCTTGGTGGTAGGGCCATGAGTGAGCCAGGCCAAAGGCCTGAGTGTAGGAGAGATGGCCACTTGTCTGCCATGAGGTGGTGCAGGCACAAAGATGATGTCCCACCCCCAAGCAGTAAGGAAATGAGAGGGGCTGCACCAGGGCCAAGAGAGCAGGAGCATTGGCCCTATCCCTCACCGGCTGCAACACTCTTGAGAACAGGCTCTACCTCTTTCCTGGGCAACATAAAGAGCTAGTGCTGATGGAAAAGGCATGGGTGAGCCAGCCTTGAGGGCTGGAGAGCTGTCCCAAGCCCTCAACAGCTGCAGCACTTGGGAGAGCGGGCTCTGCACCTTCACTGAGCAGTACAGTGGAGCTGGCTCTGGTGGCTTGAGTGCTGGTGAGCTGTCCCAAGGGCATGACAGCAGGAGAGCTGACCTTGTCTGTCCCCTTCCGGCACTGGTGAGCTAGCCAGCCGGTGCCTTGCTGGAGAGCTCACCCTGGTGGTGTGGATAAGGGAGAGCAGTCAGGCTGACTAACTCCTCAGCTACCACCCAGGCGCAAATCCAGGGCTTTGAGTTGGCTAACCTCAAAATCTACCTCATCTATTATTGTTGGAGTGTGTGAAAGGGCCGGTCCTGCTGATTCAAAGCTGCAGGAGCTCCATGACACTGGGCAACAGGAAGATAATCATGAGATCCCAGTGAGGATCCAATATTGATGGTGCAGCAGAAGCCAGAGACCTTGAACCAGACCAATTACTCCATCCAATGAACATTTACAAGATGTATAGACAAAAGAGTATATTGTGGGACACCTATGTCATGCTACAGCTTCCACGATGAGACGTTTTCTGTGCTTTGTTTATTTTTACTTTCTTTTGAGGGAAGGGTGCAAAGGCAAAAGGTGGATACGAAGGGATGGGGAGAAGGGTGGGATTGGATGCATGATGTGAAACTCACAAAGAATCATTAAAACGTTTTAAAAAAGAGTTTGTTTAGGCTTAGAAACAGCTGCCCATTACAAATTGTCTCACCTTCACTATATAATTATTAGTAAGAGCTAGCAGGAGCAATTCTCCTGCAAGACAGTGAATGGCAAAATATCAAAAGGAATACACTTTTGTATTATTTGTATACCAAAACAAGTATTTAAAATATTTAATTTTTGAGTTAAGCACGTTTGGCACTTTAAGTTCACTAGCTCTGAATCCTGGTAAGGTTAACTTTAACTCGGTTTCCGGACACAGCAGGTGCTCATTATGGCTCCCAACATTAACTGTAAGACAAGATAGGAGTTCAGTAATAGTCGGAAAGCAGGAAGATGCCACAGAAAAGTTCAGCTTGAACCCTATTAGACGATTAGTTTTAGAGCCAGCCACTGTAAAAGTTGCATTACCAAAGCCCCAAAGCCAGAAACTGCTCACAATATTTTGGATTACTCTTGGCTTCAGGAGACGCCACTCCTAAAACAACAAAAAAGCCGAATTTTAACTCAAAACATCCTCTAAAGTACAGCGATTTCAGGGCGGAAGAGAACATTTTTCGTTCAGAAGATGGCACCGAAGCCGGAGGCTAATGTACGATCTCATAAATATCGATGACATTCCAAAAAATAAAAACCAGTCCCGCTTCCTGGACCGGAAGCCGGAAGCGAGGGGCCGCAATCCCGGGACGCCGGCGCGCTGAAGCGCGACAGGGGCGGAGCGAGGCCGTAAAGCAACGCGGAGCCCGCGCTGCCTCCCAGGGCGCCCTTGAGATCGTGGGCCATGGCTGGCGTAGCGCGCGGCTGCGGGACCAGCCTGGACCTGCTGCGGTCCTTGCCGCGAGTCAGCCTGGCCAACCTGAAGCCCAACCCTGGCTCCAGAAAGCGGGTAAACCGATGGCGGTGGTGCGGGGAGGGCTGGGGGCGCGTCACGCTGGTGATGGACGCGTTCGGCCGGAATTAAAGCGTAAAGACGCTAAGTAGGCAGAGGGGCGAACTCCCGGGAACTACCGAATGGCTCATCCAAGATTGTATTTAGACTGAAGCGCTTTAGCAAAATGCCTGAGTCATCCTAAATATATTAATTGGCTTTTTACTTCAGCTGTCTTATGTGCAGCCCGCCGTACAGCTAGAAAAGATGTTGACTGACGGCTCTTACTGCAACTCACTTTATTTTCTGGGGGTGGGGTGACAAGGTAAATTAAAGGAAAGATTCTGTTCCGGAGTTAGAAACACCGAAAGACTACCTGATTCCATCCAGTTGTAATAAGCCTGTTTATTTTAAGATGCAGCTATCCTCAGTTCCCGTGCTCAGGTTTGGAATCGAGGCCCACGTTAAAGGGGTTGGGGAGGGCCTTTAAAGACAGGTCACAAATGACTTCATTTCTGTAGAATTTACAGCTCCGTGAGGAACTGCCTCCTAACTTGTTCACAGAAACAAGAGCGTGCGGTTAATCATTTTCAACAGTTTTACAATACTGAGGAGAAGGAGCAACTCAGAGTTGCCAGAAGCTTATCTTTCAGGAATTTAGAAGGATGGGTGCTTAGCTCAAAATGGAGTTTTCCTTAGCCATATGTGATACAAATACATATTTATGGCTAATTGAAAAATAAAGCCCTTAATATCTCTCAAGCCTCTTGGCTGTTTAGGTCTAGGATTTTCTTTTTCCGTTTCAGCCCCTTTTCTACTGAGGACTGAATTTAGGCCCGCTACCACTGAGCGCTACCTAGCCCCAAACCCATTCCCGGTTTTTAAGTGCTTTATTCTGAGGCAGAGTCAGTAAATTGGGGGTTGGGGTGGTGGAAGGGCGCTGGTCTTGACTTTGTGTAGCTAAGGCAGGCTACACTCTGAATCCTTCTGCCTCAGCCTCCAAGTAGTCACTGCAGGTCAGCACAAGCTGACTAGCTGGGAGACCTGGCTTATTGGAGAGCTTGTTACTCCTATCTGATTCTATCCCATCATTAGAACTTTGCCTTGTGTTTTACCTTATATTTTAGTTACTAGAATTGGCTGGATTCTGAGAAAACTGTTAATGGAGTGCAAAGGTGAGTAGCTAGAGCAGAGCTTGGCACACAGTCCCTTAGCTAGCACTGGTTGCATGAATAAAGGGTGTAATAAAAGAATATGTTATGAGGTTGAACACAGTTTTCAGAAGTGCACCTGAAGATCGTAAAACTCATTTTTCCTTGTAGGAAAGACGTCCAAGAGATCGGAGAAGAGGTAGGAAATGTGGCAGAGGCCATAAAGGAGAGAGGCAGAGAGGAACTCGGCCCCGACTAGGCTTCGAGGGAGGGCAGACTCCATTTTACCTCGTAATCCCAAAATATGGATTTAATGAAGGACACAGGTAAGGGTGTTTTGCTTTTAAAGTACAAATCTGTAATTTCCAGTAAGAATTATATAAGTATTTGGTAGAAACCTTATATTTACTTGAAGAAGCAAACTTGTTCCTCTGAATAATTTTCAGTAACGAAACTTAACCTATAGAGTGTGTGTATGTATTTTTGTGTGTAGCAAGCATATAAACACAGTTGTTCAGCTCAAGCCTACAGAATGAAGAAGATAATGATTGCTGTCATGATTCCTTAGATGATTAGCAATTTAAAAAGGTATATGATTCTTTCCATACACACACACACATACACACATATATGAAATATATTTATATGGCACACTGTGGTACCTACCATTATTACTCTGTGATCTGTTATTTTGGGTTAGACTTATGTGAGTTTACTTGTGTGCGCAATTGAAGTAAATGTTTAGAGAGGTAAACTGTTTCTAGCGGAGCAAAGGAAGCCCTGTTGTTGTATTATACTCATAAATGAAGAGAAACAGAGCAAAGCTTGTTGATTTTAAGAGGTTACAGGAAGATTACTTGGAGTTTTCTAACTGTTTTATTCCTGTTTTGCAGTTTCAGGCATCAGTATCAGCCTTTGAGTCTCAGGAGACTGCAGTATCTCATTGATTTAGGGCGAGTTGATCCCACTCAACCTATTGATTTAACCCAGCTTGTCAATGGGAGAGGTGTGACCATCCAACCACTTAAAAGGGATTATGGGGTTCAGCTGGTTGAAGAGGTAACTCTAGAGTTTTTGTTGTTGTTGGGTTTTTTGCTTTTTGTATTATATAGATACTTTGCCATACTCAATAGTCCTTTCTTATCTGGGAGGGGCACATACCACATAGATGCTTTAGTGTGGACATCACCAAACTGTATAGACGGTGTTTTCTTTTTTTCATAAAGACATCTGATAAAGACTAATTTGTAAGTTAGGCATAGTGGGAAGTTAATAATAATTTGTTACAGTTCTTAGTAGCCTTAACTAATGACTATTAAATGGAGAACTTCCATCTCTCCACTTCAGGTGCACATCTTATGGTTCCTCTTTGTCATATTCGATTTGTCACCAATACTGCTTTTGTACATTATAGCCTTCATTAAGTAAGATAGGGAATAACTGCAGATAGCATTGTGATACTGTGGTACAGGGTAGGTAATGTATAGAGTGTGAAAATGATGTAGAAAACTGTGACATGTCTAGGAAGGATGGGGTAGAGCAGCATGAGACCTCATGCTACTCAATACAGTTTAAAACCTGAAAGGTCCTGGAGATGCACTTTGTGGCCTGTATAGGATCTTGGTTTGATTCCAAGCTCTATAGAAAGACTTCTAAGTTGTGGAATGCTGCCAACCAGTAGCTGAAACTGTGGAAGGTGAATCTGTGGAAGCTAATTAATCAACACTTAACCACTTTTCTGGATTCTGGAGAGATAGATTAATGGTTAAGAACATTGGCTGTTCACCCAGAGGACCTAGGTTTGAGTCCCAGCATCCATATGGTTACTCAAAACTGTAACTTCAGTCCTAGGAGATCTGTCACCCTTTCCTGGCCTTGATGGGAACTGTGTACATATGGTGCACAGACATTCATGCAGACAAAACACACATACACATAGAATAAATAAAAATTAAACAAACAAACAGTAACATCAAAAACCTAAACTCCCGGCTCAAACCAGCTGTAGTTTTAGAAAGCTGACATACATTGAGGGCACAGCTCTGTCTGCTGTGGCTCTGTATGGCTTTCCCCCTCTTTTGGTTTTTAACCTGTCAATATATCAGGAAGATCACTTAAAAAAGTCTTTAAAAGAATTTTTTAGATTTCTTTTATGCATATAAGTGTTTTGCCTGTATGTATGTGTACCATATGGTGCTTGCAGAGTTAAAAAGAGGACATTAGATCCCCTGGAACTGGAGTTATAGATATTTGTGAGCTACCAAACCCCAATCTCTGGAAAAGCAGCAAGTGCTCTAAACCTCCAAGTCCTCTCTCCAGCGTCAGGAAGATCTTTCTGGAATTATTTTTGTTGTTTGAGGTGGGGCAGCTCTGGCAGGCTGTTCTGCAACTCACTTTATAGACCAGGCTGACCCCTGCCTTTGCTGAGATGACAGACATGTGCCACTACATCTGCCTTGGACCTGTTCACCAACCCACACTTAAAAAAAAATAGTTTAAGTACATTGCAAGCTGGCAGGAGGCAGCAAGTAGCTCAGGTGCAGCCTGTGGCCCTGTTCCCACTCTTAGAAGCACACTCTGTGCCTGCGTTTTCCAGCCCAAAGCATTTTTCTCTTTATGTGTCTTTACATGTCTTTACATGTTTTTATGTGTGTGAATGTTTTGTCTGCATGTATCTCTATGTACCGTGTGTGTGCGTGGTGCCAACTGAAGCTTTGGATCCCCTAGGGCTGGAGTTATAGATGATTATGAACCACCATATGGGTGCTAGGAATTAAACTGGCCCTCTAGAAGAACAGCTAGTGCCCTTAGCAGCTGAGCCACCTCTCCAGCCTCCCAAATAATTTTTCTTAATATCTGGTGCACAACTGCACTAATATGTCATTATCTTTCTCACTACCAACTAAGCCTTATAAAGGTAGGCACTTTGTTTTAGTTCCAGTACTGTTGATCTTAGTTCTGAAAGTTATGTAATATTTATGGAATGAATTAAATCTTATTTCAGCCTCAGTAAAAATTTCTGTCAATGATGGACCAGTAGTTCATACCCTAACTACATAACTGAGTGGGTAACTTAGTGTCCACCAGAGGGAAACGTATGTTCATGGGAGAACCTTTTACATTCCTTTGAGAATGTGAACCTAAGGCTAAGAGCTTTCCAGGTGTGATTCATCCTCTGATGTGGGTGAGCACACTCGTGATCCCAGTCCTTTGGAGACCAAGGCAGGAGTTTGAGGCTGAAGTTTCAGGCTACCTGGAGCTACATAGTGAATTTTAGGCCAACTTTGGCTTGTACTTAAAACTCTGTCTTAAAACAAAAGAAAATAAACAAAAATCTAATTAATCCACAAACAGATAAGTTCATTTGGAAAAGCGATACCAAAGTCATAATTAAGCCTGAATATTCTATTGTGGATATTATGTAAAGAAAAAGACACATACTTCATAGAAAAGTCCATGACCTTGGTGGTATTTAAATTGCATGTCTGAATACATTTCAGGTATGTTAGTATTATGCTAGCACACTTTATCCTGAAAGTTCTACCCTGGGGCAATCATTGTATAAATGTAGTCATGGTACTTACAGCTTGTATATTGTTTGCCTTTTCTGAGTTTAGATTTGCAGGTAAATAGTGGATAATAAGATGCTGTGATTAGTAAGCACAGAATTATTTTGGGATATATATTCTCAAGGAAAGGAAAAGAAAGTTGATTTGTAGACCTTCCTGAGAAATACAGTTTATAATACTTTTTGAAACTAACACCAGAGCCAGAATAGTGAGCTGGTTTAACAGCTACAGAGTAGTAATTTAAAAAACCAGACCAAGGGCTAGAGAGATTGCTCAGAAGTTAAGAGCACTGGCTGCTCTTCCAGCCAGTTCAATTCCCAGCAACCACATGGGGGCTCACAACCACCTGTAATAAGATCTGGTGCCCTTTTCTGGCATTCAGGCAGAACACTGTACATATAATAAATAAATAAATCTTAAAAAAAAAAACATTTAAAATGTAAAAAAAAAAAAACCCTACAAATAATCCGGTCTGTACTTTTGAATTGAAAGTCTATTAATTATAAAAATGCACACCATTATCAAATATAAACAGTAAAAAACTACATTGTATAGCTAATAGGATATTTTGAAGTATATAAAATATTTATAATGAAAGGAATCATACTGGGAACTAGTTTTAGCTGTACTAAAAGGCAAAAGCAATCTGTTTTGAAGTTAGAGAAAAATTAGCATATCCTGAATGACAGGACTTCAGGAAATTCATTGCTACATCTTCTAGTATTAAACATTCTAGGGAAAGGTAAATGCCTCCTCCATTTTAGAGAGTATAATAAAGTTGGTAGTGAGTATAAAATGGACTTTTTCCTTTTTTTCCAAAAGACAGGAACCCCTTGAATATTGTCAGGTATTTTGTTTTCCAGGCTGTTCCAAACCCTATTCTCATCTAATAAAACTAAGGGATAAGGAAGACTTGTTTTAATTTTATTATTAAAACTAAAAATTTTTTATATGTACGTGTGTTTTACCTACATGTGTGCTTGTGTGCCCTGTATGTGCCTGGGGGGGTCAGAAGAGGACATGAGCATTGGATCCCCTGGAGTTGGACTTACATATAGTTCTGAGCCACCATGTGGGTGCTGGAAATCAAACCTAGATCCTCTGGAAGAGCAGCGAGTATTCTTAACTGCCGAACCATCTCTCCAGTTTCAGGAAGATTTGTTTTTACTCTATATAATGTAAGGTAATGTTGTGGTTAAGAATAGAGATGGGCTGGTAAAACGGCTTCATGGGTAAAGGCCGCTTAGACCTACAGACACGCTTTTAATCCCTGCAGGCCCTGTAAATGTGGAAAGGGAGATTGTCCTCTGACCTCAACATGCATGCTGTGATCAGATCCAAATCTCTCCCTTTCCCCTCTTCCTCCCTCTTTCCTTCTTTCCCTCCTTCCCTCCCTCTCCTTCTCTCTCCTACACACACACACACACACACACACACACAAATTACTTAGCTGGACATGGTGGCTCATGCCTTTAATCCCAGCACTCGGGATGGGATCCAGAGGCAGGTGGATCTCTGTGAGTTTGAGGCTAGCTTGGTCTACAGTGAGAGTTCCAGGCTGTACACAGAGAAACCCTGTCTTGAAAAACAAAACGGAAAACAACAACAAAAAGAAATTACTTTTAAATATCTTTTTTTGAAAGAACAGGTGGTCCTGGGTATGTAGCTGACTGGTAGAAGGCAAGACCTTGGGATTCCAGCCTCAGCATTGGGAAAAGAAAAATCTCAATTCAAAGGCTCTGACTAGACTGCATTAGTATGCTTACTTTGTCTTGGGTGAAATTACTCAGCCGACTCATTGTCTCCATCTGAATTTGGCATAGTAACCATCCTACTTTAGGATTGCTAGGATTAGATAGTTTCTGCTAATGGAGCCTGGGGAGTGGATGCTTCTGATAGTGAAGCATAGTAGACCCCAAAGAGAACTAGTTAGAGACAGAATTGCAGGTACTTTGGAAGGGGGAACACAGCTGAAAACAGACACTTGGCTGATTGGCTTTCAGCTAAGCTATTTACTAACAGGCTTTGTTTTAACATGACAGGGTGCTGATACTTTTCAAGCAAAAGTTAATATTGAGGTGCAGTTGGCTTCAGAATTAGCCATTGCTGCAATTGAAAAAAATGGCGGTGTTGTTACTACAGCCTTCTATGACCCAAGAAGTCTAGGTAAGTCTATTCTGTCGGAGGTTTCTTTCCCTTTGTATCTCATATTGCCAACTGTGTTTGTTTGCCAGTTTTGTTTTTAGTGCTTCTGTAGTGCTCACAGCTGCCCTCTTTCGGCCTGCTTGAGCACTGTACTCATGTACACATATCTCCACAGAGACATAAATGCATACACATAAATAAAACTAATAAAACAAAAAAATCTTTTCAGAGGGGCAGATGTTCACAAACCTTCCTTCTCTCATTCTCCCCTCTCCTTTTTGCCTTCCTTTTTCAAAATACAAACTATTAAAAATTAACTTTTTCCAGGCTAGGTAGATAGTTCAGTAGGCAAGAACCCATGCTGTGTAAGCCTGACCTGAGTTTGAGCCCATGATAGAATGAACTCCTGAAAGTTGTCCTCAGATCTCCAAAAATGCAGCACACACATGTAAAAGCCCCTCTCTGAGAATAACAAAAAAATGAAAAAAATTTAAAAATAGTTGTTTCCATTTTGTTTACTTAAGCCTATTAAAAAGTTTTTGGAATTCAGTTCTCAATCTTAGTCAATTTAAAAATTAATAACTAAAAGTATATGAGTTATTATCTATAGAACCAGTATTTACATCTCTTTTTAAAAATTTCTTTTTAGAAATTCTGTGTAAGCCTGTTCCATTCTTTCTGCGGGGACAACCCATTCCAAAACGAATGCTCCCACCTGAATCGCTGGTGCCCTATTACACTGATGCAAAAAACCGGGGGTACCTGGCTGACCCTGCCAAGTTTCCCGAAGCAAGACTTGAACTTGCCCTGAAGTATGGCTACGTTCTTCCTGATATCACGAAAGATGAACTCTTCAGAATGCTCAGCACTCGGAAGGATCCAAGGCAGATTTTCTTTGGTCTTGCTCCTGGCTGGGTGGTGAATCTGGCAGATAAGAAAATTCTGAAACCTACAGATGAGAATCTCCTCAAGTATTATAGCTCCTGAACTCCCCTCCAGTAAAGCAGACTTGTTGAGAGCCAAACAGTCTGTAACATGGCTTCTTGTGTGTCTGAAATCCTCAGGATTGATACCAGCCTTCACTGTGGTGAAGCTGTGGTCAGCTCTCTTGCTTTTTTTTTTCCATGTGAAGTTAAATATCAGGCAGCAAAAGCTGCACGGAGGAACTGAACCGTTGAGGGTGTATGTCTCAATGCAAACAATGGCAGTCTTGAGAAAGGTGATTAAAAAAAAACAAACTACTTCAAATCACCTTTCTTTTGGGGGGGGTTAGGGGGTGGGGAGGTGGATTTCCGTCCTGAAACTAGGTCCGTAGACATGGCTGACTTCAAACTCATAGAGATCTTGCCTGCCTCTGCTGGGATTAAAGGCTAGGCCACTGCTGCCTAGCCCAGTTTAAGTTTAAAACATCTCTCTACTGTCCATGTTTTCCTGGTCTTCTCTCACCTGAATTTTCTGCTCTGTCAGAATGAAGGCAAGAACAGTGAATTGAATAGTAGGCCTGGGAACAGGTGCCAAGGAACTATGGCTTCTTTTACTCAGTGCCCCAGGGAAGCTTTGCTACCCATTGTTTGGACAGTGAGCCCCCAACAGGGACGCTCCCAATGTGACTGGCAGCTGGCGAGCAGCATAGCAGCAGTGGAGCTAGAGAAACCAAGATCAGAAATGAACTAATTCTCTCAGCTTCATAACGATAGATAATGGTCGAGATAGTGTTCCAATTGATAAAAACTTATCTCAGACTTTAAGACTTTTGTCTTTTAATTTGATCAATGATTATATAAGCTATATCAACACGTAGAAAAAGGAAAAAGGAAGGTAGGATTTTATATTTTTTGGGGGGTGATGGTTTAAGATGGAAGCCTCATTATCAACGGCCTTGAACTCCTGAGCTCAAGCAATCCCTTGCTTCAGCGTCCCTGGCAGGTGGGCGTACTGTGCCCAGCTTAAATCTAGTTCCTGTAAGAGGTTCAGAAGTTAGAAAGTTTTTCAAGGAGAAATTGTGTTTAAATCTTGCAAAAGCTTAATTTACTGTAAGCGATTAAAGTTTCTGTTGTGTGTGACAAGGTCTCACGCATCCCATGGCTCCCTTCTACCTCCCTTGAGTAGGGGTTACAGGTGGGAGCCACCATGCCTGGCTGAGCAATTAAACACTGATCTTGAATCGTTCATTACAATTTTCCCACAGATAAAATGATTCCTAGTTGGCTATCTTAAAAACCCAAAACCCATAAATTCTGCATGCATTTCTTAACTGACATTGGTTTTTCGAGACAGAGTTTCTCTGTGTAGCCTTGGGTGTCCTGGACTCCCTTTGGAGACCAGGCCTAAGCTCTGTCTCCCAGTGTGCTGGGATTACAGGCATGTGCCACCGCCCCCTGCTCTTAGGGATTTTTATACCGTATATATCTTTTGGACCTGGGCACATGTATAAAGTGATACATGTGCCTAGAATATGTTTCAGTTTTTATCCAGGATTGCGTAGTTTTGTTTGGTACAAACTTGCCAGAACCCAGAGCTAAGAAGAATCATCCTTAGACCAACTTCTGTGAATTTAAAATCCAATTCATAAAATATGTCTGTATCTTTCAGAGACCTGGTTAGTTTTAGCCCTGTGGGTAGAAACTCCGAGGGCTTGCGGGAAACAGCACTGTACTCATGTGAGCACCAGACTCTGTTGGGGGGTGGCTGGCTGTGCAGGGCAGCTGCTCCCTGGTGAGCTCCCAACAGTGACAGCTAATAGAGCCAGGCAGCAGCAAGCCAGTTTTTTTCTAAGGAAAGTTTCTAGGAGCTGCCATGGAAAGCCTTTTTGTAGCTGTTAGCCAGACCCAGAGTCCAGTCTTGTTATGAAGGGCTTAGAAGCCTGTGGGAGCTGGTGGTCTTGGGTGGAAAGTCCTGTTAAAGGTAGTGACTAAGGTAAACACACTGAGCATCCAGCAAGGAGACTCAGCTATCGTCCCATGACTTATGTCAGACAGGGGAAGTGCCAAATTCGTTAATTCTACTGGGATATTGAGTTTGGTGCTTTATATAACTACCAGAAAATCGATTGATTCATCAGTCTTTTTTTTGGAGTTGGTTGGGAGTCTGCACTAAGTCCCCTGGTTGTCCTGCACTCCGTGTAGACCAGACTGGCCTCAAACTGACAGATCTGCCTCCCTGCTGCTGGGACCAAAGGTGTGTGCCACCACATTTGGCTTTCATTAGCCTTTTTGCAGAGGAATGAGGACAGAAACGTGGGAAAGCATCCGATTTTTTGTCTTCTGTCCCTGCTTTAGAAAACATTTTCAATGGAAAGGCATCTTTTACTTCCAGTATTAGGTGTTTTAAAAGATGCATTTGAATAGTCTTAAGGGGAAAGAGATAACAGGATGCGATGAAGACTGCAAAGAATGGCCACGTACAAAGAAAATATGTTTTTATTGTTAAGAGTCAGTCGCTGTGAGTTATGAGTTGGTACATTTCAGTCTGGAGAGAGATCTCAGCTGTTCAAAGCTGACAACCAGAACTTCAAGAATTGAGCACATTTTATTCTTTTTAAGTCATGGCCAGGAAACAGAAGTTTTTACTTGTTTTGAAAATTATGTAATAATGAAGTATTTTGGTTTTGTAGCTCAGAATAGCTTCAAATAGCTTCAGTAGCTCCCGCTCCCCCTCCTTACTGCTGGGGTTACTGGAGCCTGCCTCCACGCCCTGGCAGGTTTAGAAGAACCAAATGTCCAGTCTGCTGCTGTTGCTGATTGTTCCTCAGCGGCCCCACAACCGGTTCTGTTCAAGTCGAAGGGTAGGTTGTTGGTATTGGAACTCGTCTCGCTTCAGGTTTACTTCATTTATTCTTGTGCTGAGCATGGCTGCAGAGCTGCACCCAGCCCTACGGCATCTACTTATACAGACTTCCTGATCACTTCACTGTTCGGGGATTTAAACTGAGCCCTGTTTGCCTTAAGTTGCTTAAAGTGGGGGTGCATCAGATAAGCTACTTCACCTTAAATTGAAGCATAGTGCCAGGCTAAAGCAACAAGGAGTGTCTAACAGACTGCGAAATCTCTCCTATCCTTCTTTGCAGTTCAGAGGTTGAACCAGTGCTCTTTACATTGGGTGACACATCCATCAGCACCAGCTTCAGCTGAGGCACCTTAAGGATGCTTCCTTGATCTAAGGAGAACTTTGGCTATAGCCTATCTGCATAGAAATAAATTTCCTTAGACACATCCAGTAACTGCATATAGAGTGTGCTATGGCCTTAGGTAAGCTACTGCCTTGCCTTACTGTGCAGGAGGCTTTCCTTTGGTGGTGCAGTTTAGAACCGCAGTTCTCAGACGCTGCCTCCACAGGAAAAGTTCTTCACAGGAAGTGAGAGAGGAAATTAGTCACCTAAAGGGAGACCACATTGCAGCCTTCCATCTCAGAATGTACTTTGAGGGTCCTTGGACTGCCCTTCCCCCACCCCTCCAAGCAATGACTAACTACCCTAGCAGAACTGACAGCCAAACATGGGCTTTCTTCATTCTGGTTGTCTTTGGTGGCCTCCAGGTGGAAGGAAATCAGGAGAGAGTGATAAAGGGAAGGAGAAAACAGGAACCAGGTGGCTAGTGATGTGGAATGCTGGCCTGTGTTTATTCGGTGATGGGGACTTTGTCACAAACAGCTGTATCCGGTTGTGATACGACCCCACAGCTCATTCTCAGCCAAAACGGCACCTTCCACAAAGTTTGTCTGCTGTACTCAGCTCTTTTGCCATTTACGAGGACACAGAGAGGTCCAGTAGAAGGTGGTAGCCATGAGTTCAGATCACTTGAGAATCTACCTTTAAAAGCAGTGAGGTTTCAGTTTAGATCTGTCCTTGGAATGTGGCTTCATCTGTTCTCAGAATACATGGCTTTTGGTGACCCCAAAGACCTTGAGTTAATTTGTATTTTAAAACATTTTTTTTTTTTTTTTTTTAGGGCCAGGCATTGTGTATGCCTTTGATCCCAGCACCTAAAAGGCAGAGTCCGGTGGGTATCTGGGTTCAAGGCCAGCCTGGTCTACAAAGTGAGACTTTATTTCCAAAAGCCAGAACAAATGAACAAACAGCAAAAAAAATTCTAGGCTGAGGGACAGCTTGAGTGGATGAAGTGTTCAAGCTCCAGAGCCCATGTTAACCACACAGAAGCTTGGCACAGTGTGTATGGGCATCAGAAGGTAAGCAATCAGGTCTGTGCAGGCCTAGTGGTCAGCCGTTTTAGCCAAATGGTGAGCTTCAGGACCCAAGGACTTTTTTTTTTTTTCCTTTATAAAGAACATTTATTTATGTAGTTTGTACATGGACATGTGTGCTGTAAGAGGCATACATTTAGGGGCCTGGAGAGATGCTCAGAAGTATGTATATGGTAATTAGAGGGCAACTTACGTGAGTTTTCTTTCACCACCATTCTGGAGACCAAACTCAAGTCGTCAGGCTTGGTGACAAGTGCCTTTACCTGGTGAGCCAGCCTGCAGGCCCCTACTGAGTTCCATAAGCACCTTATCTGTATGAAGAAGATACTACAAGCAAGAGGAGGGTTTTTAAGGCTATCAGATCTGGAAATTCTGTGGACGAGGAGAGGGACCCAGGCAGGGCTGGTGTTGGTCCCTCTGTTAGGTGGGATTTGTGCCTCCAGTCCTCCATTCAGAATGAAGAGGTTTGAAGCCACAGCCCAGCTGATCCAGAGAGCTGTGACCCAGTGATGGTGGAGAACTTAGTTCTAGTATGTTCAAGGACACAACAAGGAGTGATTTAAGACAGTTTCTCTGTAGCCCTGGCTTTGCTATACTCAATTTGTAGACCAGGCTGGCCTCCAACTCATATAGATCTACCTGCCACTGCCTCTGGAGTGCTCCCCCACCCCCCCACCCCCAGGAGTGATTCTAAAGGCCCTTCCTCATTGCTTGTCATTTGTACCTTTGTGTCTTCCGTCCCTTCCCAGCACCTCTGCAGTTCCTCTTTCCTCTGCATGACTGCACAGCGCTTTTCCTCTCCTTTTCCTCTCATCTGATTGGTAGACTGTGGCTACCTGTGTGGAGCAGCAGTTGAGAATGAAATGTTGCCTTCTGCTCAGACAAACTCTGGCAAGGGGCCAACAAGAGTTACCTCTGGAATGCTTTCAAATTAAAACTTCAAAACGAAGTACCGTTTGAGATGCTTTCTAATCTAATGGAAAGTTTCTCCAGGAGTCCCCCAAGTTGAAATCGCCATTTCAGAGTAGGCAGTACTGCCTCCT